TTTTTTGAGACGGAGTTTCACTCTTGTTACCCAGGCTGGAGTGCAATGGCGCGATCTCGGCTCACCGCAACCTCCGCCTCCTGGGTTCAGGCAATTCTCCTGCCTCAACCTCCTCAGTAGCTGGTATTACAGGCACGTGCCACCATGCCCAGCTAATGTTTTTGTATTTTTAGTAGAGACGGGGTTTCACCGTGTTGACCAGGATGGTCTCGATCTCTTGACCTCGTGATTCACCCTCCTCGGCCTCCCAAAGTGCTGGGATTACAGGCTTGAGCCACCGCGCCCGGCCCTAAAAATTTTTTAAAATAAAAATAAAATAAAATATTAAGAGACACGTGTTTCTCGCCCACCTGTCTGTCCCTGACCACAGAGGGCCTGACTTCTGAGAGCCGCCATGCATCCAGGTTCCCTGAAAAGGAAAGGGTGTGCAGGCAGATCTGCTTCGTTGTTTGTTTTTGAGTTTTTGGCTCCGGTTCTGTTATCTGGAGATCCTAGGAGCGATCCTGCCTGAGCTGCATCTTCAGACAGGCAGAGGGTCAGGGCCACGAGGCCCGAGGCAGAAGCCAAGAGCTTGGTGAACCCGCATCTCCAGCCTTGCGGGAATGAGAGCAGTGGCGTCACAACCCATCATGCGGGGTGTCAGGACAACCGCAGACGAGGGCATCCATGGTGCTGGGAACATGACATGTTTTGTCACACACCTGGACTGCTAACTGTGAAGCCCTCCTATGGAGAAGGGCCTGGGGCTGGTCCTTGAAGGAAGGGAGCTGGTGAGACTGAGGCTTTGCAGCCAGGCTTGGGACTGGCAGAGGCAGGGGCAGCCACCTGCAGGACAGTCAGGAGGAGTTCCTGGGGAGCTTATGTGGATCCAAGAGGGGCCTGTGGGAGGAAGGAGAAAGATCCAAGGGGATCCCTCAAACTCTCCTATCTGCTGTGATCTGTGGGAACTCTACACTCTGGAATGCCCAGCCCCCACTGGTGTCAGGATGCAAGGGAGCCCTGGAGATTCAAGGCTGGAGTTCTGGAATCAGTTGGCCTGGGTACAGCCTGAGCTCAGCACCTGCAGCAGTGTAGCCTTGGCTGTGTTTCCTAAGCAACCCAAGCCTCAGCTTCCTCATCTGTAAACCACGATGATAAGTGTACACATACTTCATAAGATGATTGACAGGTCAAACTAAGATGATGCATGTGAAGAGCTTAGCGCACTGGTGGGCACTAGTACATACTCAGTTATTAGATAATAGTATCAGGAGCGGGAGCAGTGACAGCAATAGTACCATCACCTCCAGATCACAGATACAGAAAGCAAGGCCCAGAAATTAATGTAAGATACCTGGCAGCAGGGTATAGGTATTAAGAAGACTGACCCTGGAGTCAGGTTGTCTGGATTGAAATCCTAGCTCTCCTTTTTCTGACACGTGATCTTGGGCAGGTTACCGGACTGTACTCCACCTTCCTCATCCATCCGCCACAGAAGATGTTTAAAGTACACCGTGCACGAAGTGAGTGCTATGAAGGTCCCAGCTCGTGCTGTTGCGAATGCCCCTGATACCATCAGTGGAAAAGGCTTGGGCACGGAGGCTCTAGCTCTTCCCAACTCACTCCTTTGTTTCCACAAAATAAGATGATTTTCTCTCCTTTGAGCCAGCCTGCCAGGCATCAGAGCAGTCCAAGGGGAGACGGCTCCAGGCTGTGTCATCTGACCCTCCTGGTAGAGTGCTTAACAGAGGTCAGGGCCATTGGGCCAGCCGCCAGGGGAGAGGTGGATGCTCATCACATGCTACATGAACGGTGACCCTGGAAATGTGGGAGGCAGAGGCTCTGCGCCAAGCATTTTCTGCAGAACACAGATGCATGCGGAATCCTGAGACCCTGCCGGGACGGTGAGTGAGTCAAACACAGTAGGGCAGCAGGAAGAATGCAGGAAGATTTGAAGACAGGAGCAGTGATTTTCCAGCTGGAGGCTTTTTTTTTCTTTTTTTCCAAGATAGAGTCTCTCTTTCTCACCCAGGCTGGAGTGCACTGGCACAATCTCAGCTCACTGCAACCTCCACCTTCCGGGTTCACACAGTTCTCTGCCTCAGCCTCCGAAGTAGCTGGGATTACAGGCGTCTGCCACCATGCCCACCTAATTTTTTGTATTTTTAGTAGAGACAGGGGTTTCACCATGCTGGCCAGGCTGGTCTTGAACTCCTGACCTCAAGTGATCTGCCCACCTTGGCCTCCCAAAGTGCTGGGATTACAGGTGTGAGCCACTGTGCCCAGACCTCTTTTTTTTTTTTTTTTTTTTTTTTTTTTTCCTTTTCGAAGAGTCTCACTCTGTTGCCCAGACTGGAGTGCAGTGGCACAATCTCAGCTCACTACAATCTCTGCCTCCTAGGTTCAAGCAATTCTCCTGTCTCAGCCTCCCGAATAGCTGAGATTATAGGCACCCACCACCACGCCCGGCTGATTTTTATACTTTTAGTAGAGACAGGGTTTCACCATCCTGGCCAGGCTGGTCTCCAACTCCCAACCTCAAGTGATTCACCCACCTTGGCCTCCCAAAGTGCTGGGATTACAGGCATGAGCCACCGCTCCCGGCCCCAGCTGGAGGCATTTTTAAACCCTCTCCCTGCCACTGGGTATTGCCTCCACTCCAAAGAGGGAATGCATCTTCAGGACGCAGACTAGGAAAGACACTTCTGCTTCAGGTTCTGGAGTCCCTAAGCTTGGCCAGCCTGGGGAGTAGGGTGTGGAATGGCACACCACGTTTGATACAGCGGTGTGTCTACCACCCGGGGAGGCACTCACGTTTTATACAGTGATTGGTGCTGTTCGCTGTTGTCCATCCTGGGCAGCACTGTCCCCCGCAGACATTCCTCCTGTGGGGTCACCAAAACAGAGTCAACCCAAGGATGCTCAGAGCTGGGGACTATTCCTACAGCCCCTCCGACAGTCCCACCTTCTACAGGCCTGGGGAACAGGGAGAGGCTGGGAAGGCTGTCCCCATTCTACATGCAAATCTAAGACTGAACCCTGACTCTGTCATTCTCCACATGTCCTTGGGAAACCTCGCTCTCTCCATCTGTACAATGGAGATAACACTAGCTGCTTCATTGGGTTGTTATGATGGTTAAGTGGGGTCGGAATTTTAACATCTGACATAAAGCAGGCAGTCTGCTCGGTCAACGACGGCAGCAATCCTAAAGCTAATAAGTTGGTTCAGAGAGGTTCAGTGACTTCCGAATTCCACACAGCAGGTAAGTGCTGGAGCCTGATTCAGACCTGGGTTGGCCCAACTCTAAGTCATGCTCCAACTCTACCTCTCATAAAACACATACACATACACACACACACACACACACACACACACACACACACACACACACACCGCGGTACACACCCCCTTTTTTTTTTTTTGAGACAGAGTCTCACTCTGTCACCAGGCTGGAGTACAGTGGCATGATCTTGGCTCACTGCAACCTCCACCTCCTGGGTTCAAGAGATTCTCCTGCCTCAGCCTCCTGAGTAGTTGGGACTACAGGCGTGTGTCACCATGCCCAGCTAATTTTTGTATTTTTAGTAGAGACAGGGCTTCACCATATTGGCCAGGATGGTGTCCATCCCCTGACCTCATGATCCGCCCACCTCAGCCTCCCAATATCCATGCCAGGGATTACAGGCGTGAGCCACACGCCTGGCCTTGTTCTTGTCCTACCAATGCTGACCATCCGAGGAAAGCTGGAAGACACACATAAAACAGTCTCAAGTTTATACGAGATGTCACCTGCCAACAAATGCACACTGAGGAGTTTCAGCCCCCGGCAGTCTGGTGCGTGGTAAGGCTGAGCCCTGAGTGGACACTGAAGGAACAGGACTCAAGGTGGTACGAGGATGGGGCTGGGGTGTGGGTTAAGCTGCCTCCGCATAACTTTTATTTGGAGACACAATGTTTATTTGAGAGGCAAGCAGGACTAACTGTATAGGGAAATCGAGTTCTTCCCTCGGCTACTCCTTTTGTTTTTTATCGCTCAGGCTGGAGTGCAATGGGGAGATCTAGCTTCAATGCAACCTCGGTCCCCCACAACCTCGGTCCCCCAGGCTCAAGCAATTCTCCTGCCTCAACCTCCCAAGTAACTGGGATTACAGGTGCCTGCACCACACCTGGCTAGTTTTTAAAATATTTTAGTAGAGACAGGGTTTCACCATGTTGGCCAGGCTGGTCTCGTACTTCTGACCTCAGGTGATCCATCCACCTCAGCCTCCCAAAGTGCTGGGATTACAGGTGTGAGCCACCATGCCCGTCCCTTCAGCTACTCCTTGCTGCTGGCTCTGAGGGCACCCCCATGAGACACTGACCTGCAGTTTTGGGCACTCACCCAGCTCTTCAAACTTTGCCTGCAGGTGTCTGCGGCACTCTGGCAACACCAGAAGTTTCCACCCAGCCCTGACTCTGCAGCTAAAGACCCTCATGCCTAGACCAGGGCGACTCCCTAGAAGGGCTTCTCCTGGACACCTCCAGGGAGCGACAAGAGGCCCAAGCTGGGCCGGGCTCTGGCTTACATCCTTCTCATCAGAAATCGTCACTGGGCACTGGAACTGGAGGGTGAGAGGGGAGGGAGACGTGCAGAGGCTGGACAGGCAAAGGACAGAGCAGGGCGGCTGTTCCTGTGATCTCTGCGGCCAGCATGGCGACATCTGGTCCCACTTAGGAGTTTGTCTGACATTTGAGTGGACCCCAAAGCTTATGTGGTTTTTGGAGTCTTATGAAGAATTCAAAATAAATTCCTGCAGCTTGAAAACGCTGAGGCCCATTCCTGGCCCTTTGGCCCAAAGTTGTGGGGTGCTGCCTCCCTCCCAGGGAGCTCCCAGAATGTTCTGCCAGCCAAGAGTTGTGCCACTCAGCCCACCTCAAAGCCTCTCTGGGCGACCGCCATCAACAGCTTCCTGGCTACCTCAGGGCCCATGTCACTGGGGACAGGGAAAGTGCTGCTCATCAGACCCAGAGTTTCTGGGGGTGCGCCCCAGTGGAAGGGGAAACTACTCACCCATTTGTGCGTCACTACCTCTTGTGGTGGTGACAAGTCCTCTTGTGGGGCTAGGAGGTCTTTGAGAGGAAACAGATCCCATGCCCTGGGAATTTTCTAAGAAATAGGGCCTGTGGGAACCCAGACAGCATGGACGCAGGAGCCTGCCTGGCTGGGAGGTCGTGGCATGGAGCCCAGCCCAAGGAGGCCCCCTTAGCCAGCCATCACCCCAGCTGCCCTCAGGATGGCTTTTCAGGGGACTGTGGGAGGGCAGGGGCCAGCCCTACTTTGCCTGCACAGAGTAGAGCCCTAAGGGATGTAGCGGCCACAGTGAGGATTGGCCAGAATCAAAGGCTGCCAGACAGAGGGGCCAGGCTGGGGTTGGTAGGGCTCTCAAGAGAGATTCAGGTTCCCAAGGAGAGACTCTGAGGATCCCTACAGGCCAATATTAAAGTCTTGGGTGCAGGGCCAGGGAGGTGACCAGCTGGGAATTGTCCGTTCAGTGAGCTCTGGCTAGCAGAGAGAGCAAATGAGCCTGAATAGCCAGGATATACAATTCAATCGCTCTGACACCCTAGAAGGTGCCTCTCAGAGATCCTTGGAGTCACGTCTTCCAGTCGACATCACTCAGCACACATTCACCCGGTATCCAGATCACTGTAGGGAACACACCTGGCTAGCAGCCTGGGAGAGCTGCCGTTCCACCTGGGCCAAACCCGATCACACTAGTCCTCTGTTAAAAACCTCCCACCGCCCTCCACTGGCCTCTACAAAGTCCCCTGGCACCCACGTGCCTACTTGCCTGTGCAGTCTAATTGCCCCCATCATCCCCACTTAGTCTCCACGACCATCTACAACCAAGGCTTTGTTCCTCCAAGGATACAAGGTCTGTGGCTCCCCAGTTGCCCTGCGGCTTTCACTTTGATGCCTTTGCCTGGGCTACTCTCTCTGCCTACAATGCCTTCACTCTTTGGTCTACTAATTGAAATCCTTTTCATACTCCAAGACTTCCAGAGCAGATGTTACTTTCTTTGTATAAAACCTCCCCTGGGCCAGGCACAGTGGCTCATGCCTATAATCCCAGCACTTTGGGAGGCCAAGGCAGGCAGATCACGATGTCAGGAGATCGAGATCATCCTGACCTACATGGTGAAACTCCATCTCTACTAAAAATACAAAAAAATTAGCCAAGCGTGGTGGCACACACCTGTAGTCTCAGCTACTCAGGAGGCTGAGGCAGGAGAATCGCTTGAACTTGGGAGGCAGAGGTTGCAATGGCCAAGACTACGCCACTGCACTCCAGCCTGAGTGAGATTCTGTCAAAAAAAAAAAAAAAAAAAAACCCATCCTGTGACATCTCCCCAGCCTTCCTTCATTCTCTATCTACTAGGATCATTTAGTATGACCTGTCTAAGGTCACTGGTTGTATCTTGGTCTTGGGTATCTCAAGGTTTCTTTCTTATTTCTCTTTGTGCCTCTAGAGTTTAACGGTGCCCAACACATAGTATACAATTAATACTTCTTTGCTTCATTTACTCTGGAGTTTCACAAAAAGTGGGATGAGCCACACTGAAGATAGGAAAGGCATTTTAGGTTCACAGATCGCAACATTCGACAATCTGAGTTACATGATGAGAAAGTGATTCTCTTTTTAGTTGTCCTAACCTAATTAGGTTAGTGAAAAACGCCAGGTCCTCCCCTCAGTACATGCGAGTCCCCCTTTCCAATAGAGAGAGCTTGTCACAGGGTTGAGCTTCCTAAAATAATGAATGATGTCTGACTAGAACCTAAGAACATTTTGTTTTCCTTTCAATTTTCCTACAATTGCCTTCTCTTTATAACAAGTGGTACTGCTTTCAACTTACTAAAATGATACAAAGTTTCCTTTCAGTTATGAATTTATTTATAGAGAAAAATGAGTGGAGCACTGCCTGTAATAGCAAAAAAATGTAATTCATCTAAATGTCCAAAAACAGGAGGATGAATAACTGTGGTAATATTCAGACAAAGGAATAATATACAACAGTTAAAACTTGGGCTAATTATATTAACATGGTTAAATCTCAAAAATCTAATGGAGAGGAGAAAAATAAATTGCAGAAGAATAAGGAAATGTGGCATCACTTATCTAAGTTTAAAATATGCAAAACAACATTGTATATTTTGTGGATACATGTATCTATAGTAATACTGTAAAAAATCTATTGGAATCAATTAAATTCAGGGTAGTGGTTAACTCTGGGGAGGGAGGGGGGCAATTTATAGAGGAAATGTCAACTAAAAAACTGGAAGCAAAATATGCCAAAATATTAAGATTTGATAAAGCTAGACTGTAAGTTATATTATGTTCAATACCTTTTAGTGCATTTGTAAAACTTCATAATATACTTTAAAACAGATAAAACACAAAATCCTGTTATTTTAACAGAATATAAAGTTAAAGAAAAATAATAACAGAACAAGAGTGAAAGATAGAGAAAAATACTATACAGGTGGTATGCAGTGAGGCTAGTTCAAGAACCCCTGTAGAGGCTGGGCACAGTGTCTCATACCTGTAATCCTAGCACTTTGGGAGGCCAAGGTGGGTGTTGTGCTTAAGGTCAGGAGTTTGAGAGCAGCCTGGCCAACATGGCGAAACCCCACCTCTACTAAAAACACAAAAAATTAGCTGGGTGCAGTGGCATTCGCCTGTAATCCCAGTTATTCGGGAGGCTGAGGCACGAGAATCACTTGAGCTTGGGGGGTGGAGGTTGCAGTGAACCGAGATGGTGCCATTGCACTCCAGCCTAGGCGACAAAGCAAGAGACTCCATCTCAAAAAAAAAAGAGGGGAAACCCTATAGACTGTAAATTTCATTAATGTAGAAACTGTGCCCACTCTGGTCACTGCTGTATGCCAGATACCTAGCATCAAGCCTGGCACAAGCTTAACAAGTCTTTATTATGTACAATAAATCCTCACTACACTGAAAGTTCCGTAAGGACAGAATCTGCCTGTCTTGGTCACTGCTGTATCCTTAGGATCCAGTATAGGGCCTGGGCATAGAAGTCCTTCCAAAGTATTGATTGAATGAATGAAGCAGCGCCTGTAGCAGTGATGCAGTTCCAAGATTCACCAGCAGGTGGCACTTGGTCCCTGGTTGTCTGCCGCTCACAAGGCAATGAACGGCCGCTTGATCAGCCTGACTCGAAGCCATTAGCCAGAAGGAACCAGGGTGGAGGAAATGAATAAACAAGATGACCACTCAGGTCCTCCCCAGCTGACGCAGAGCGGCTGACTGGAGTGTCAGGGAACCCACTTTATATCAAGGCTGCAGAAGACAATCTGGAGGAGGAGCCTGACCAGTGTGTCACGTGATGGGTGCACCTGTGTACAGCAGGTGGCACCCAGCCCATGTCTTCACACGCCTGTTCACATCCACCAGCCCTGTTGTGGTGACAATTTACTTTGCTCCTCACCACATCATTTCATGACTTCTAATAGTGTACCCTCCAGCCCTGACGCTCCACTTCCCCACTTCCCCCGCACCTCACCTGCACCTGAATGCCTGCAGGACAAGCTCCTCCCTGCTCCAGCCCAAGCTATGTCTCTGGGTTCCCCTACACCAGAGCTGCAGTGCTATCTACCCCTGGGCTAGTGCCAACAGTAACAAGCCCTTGTCCTTGGGCAGCGCTACAGCTGCACGCCACCCTCACCTCCAGGCCCCCTCCTGCCACCTCCCCTCTGCTTCCCCACATGCTGCCCATAGAGCCCCAGGGACCCCAGGTCACAGGTCCCTCTACTCAGCTCTTCAGCCACAATTGCCCCACTCCTTTGCACTTAACAGGAAGCTTCCAGTACTAGAAAGCATCTGTTCATTTCTTCAACGTGATTCTACCTAAGTGGGTTGCTCTCCCAGCAGGAACAATGCCTTGGACTCTGAACCTCCATCCTCTTTCCCATGCTCTGCACGCAGAATCTTTGGAAGCATGCATTCACTTGCACAGATCAGGAAAGAAAAAAGCTGCAACACAGCAGGTGCTTTCCACTAATGCTTGTTGAATAATCCTACGAGTAAGCGACTTGGCAATGTATGGGTCTACTCTCTGCCTGCTTGAAGCTGGGCCTTCCACCGGCAGCAGGGAGTTCATTCACTCATTCAACAGATACCGAGAGAATACCAATAGTGCAGGCACTATTCTAGGCACAAGTGACACAAACATGGACACAACGAAGTCCCTGTTTGCATAGAGCTTGCATTAGCGTGGGCTGGGAGGCCAGGCCAGAAACACATCAATAGAAATGGAACATGTCAGATTGAGTAAATGCTATGAAGAAACATAAACCAGGGTGAAGGGAGAAAGAGGAAGGGGCAGGAGTGGCCAAAGAAGGCCACTCTGAGCAGAAATCTGAAAGAAACAGAGCGTGAATCCTGCTGAAATATGAGAAGTGTTCCAGCCAAGGAAAACCAAGAGCGCCAAGGCTGTGAAGCGGAAGGTCCCTGGAGTAGGACTCGGGGTACAAGTATCTTTCATGCTGTTCCCCCAGGAGTAAGCCCAACCGGCAAATCGGCCCAGGCAAAGAGAGGCTGCCAAAGCCCTTCCCAGACTTCCCGATGGTGTCCCCACCCAGCCCCTCACTGCCCAGGGCTCAGTGCCCTTCATTCCAGAGACAACCGTCATACTCAGGCAAGGTGGAGCACACCCCCAGCCATGAAGATCCGATTGGGGGTGGGGCTGCTGGGGCATCTTCTCACTCTGCGACGGCGACCCCGGCGGGCAGGGAGTGGTGCCCAAGGAGAGCAAAAAAGGAAATTGCGGGGTTGTGGGGAGGCTTAGCCCTGCAACGCGCGCAAGCCGCGCTTACACCTAGGGCACACCCATCCAATTCTCCACGAGCCCACTGTCCCGCAGCCACATCGGGGACAGGCTTCCTGTCCAAAGTGCCCAGAGCTCACACCCACGTCCACATCCAGCCCCGGCGTGCGCGGGCCGACCCACGCCCCAATGTACACATTTGTCCCGGGGCACCAGCTTCACTGCCAGCACCCTTCCCCGGAGACGCATCTACCTTCTCGCCATGGGGCCCCCTACGCCTCCGCCCACCCGTGCCCTGAGCCGGTTCAACCTCCCCTGCGCCTCAAGAGCCTGGAGCGCCCACCCCACTGCCCTGTTCCCGCTGCCTCTCGGGTCCCGGTAGCGCTGCTGGCGTCTACAAGAGCTGGTTAGTTGCAGGCAGGCGGAACGCGGGCGAGTGGAGAGGCGCCTTGCGAAAGGATTTAACGTCGGGGCTCCGGGAGAGTTGGTAGGAAAGGCTGTGGACGATGATCTATCTTTGCCTTCAACTCTTCGAAAGCGGATCAAATCTTCCAGTCCCGGCTTTGGAACCTCGGGGCTGTTTCCCCGAAGTACTAAAGACAGAGGGACTAGGGCTTGAGTGCGGCGCCCTCTCCTCTCGCCTGCACGCCCCTCCACAAATGAGCCCTGGCTCCCCTCTGCACCCTCCAAACTTCCCTTTCCCGTGCTCACCCTGTGAGCCGCCCTCGCGGCGGGGTTGGGGGCGCAGCCCCGGATCGCTGTGGGGTCCCCAGGTGCGGGAGAGCCGGCGCAGCCCGGGTCCGGGGTGCCGGCTGCTGCTGGCCCAGGGGAGTGCTTCTCAGGGTCTGCGCAGGTAGCTGGATTCGCCGCGACTGCTGCGCGCGGGACGGCCTCCTGGCCTCCGCCTCGGTGGGCCTCCTGGGGCTCCCCCAACCCGGCTGGGCCCGCTCCACCGGCGGCAAGCCCGCGACAGGCGCGTCCTGCTCCCGGAACAGACTGTACACCTTGGCTGCTGCCGCTGCCGGGTAGCTGCCCCCCGGGCGCCGCAGTCGATTCGCGTCTCCGCCAGCCGGCTCGTATCTCCCCACCGGGTCCCTTTGGGCATGACCCGCGCCCACGAAGAGAGCCAGGGTGAGCGGCAGGAAGCCCCTCCAGGGGTTCCACAGGGCGCGCGCGGGGCTGCGGGCTTCGGTCCGCGGCATGGCGCGGGGGCGGCTGGAGAGCGATGCGCGCGGGCACCCCGAAGAGCTTTGTGGTCGGCGCGCGGGACGCCCCGGGCTGCTCTCCCGGCTTCTCCGAGTCTAGGGGGCCCCGAAGCGGCTGACTGGGAGTCCGGCTCTCCGCGGAGCGAGGGTTGCGCGCCCCGAACCTCGTGTCCGCGCTCCGACTCCAGTGGGGCTCGCACTGCCGCGGCACCTTCGCGCCTCCTCCCCGTGCCTGCAGCCGTCTGAAGGGGACTCGGACGATTTTGTTTTTGGAAACCTCCCCCTGCTTTTTCGTCTCTTTTATCCACACCAGGCCCCCTCCTCGGAGGGACAGCTCAGCCCCCTCATTACGGGAGAGGGAGCGAGGCATTCCAGCAACACCCACTTTGGCACCGGGAAGCGAGCGGGCGGCGAGGGGGATTAACCCGTGCGGAGCAGGGGGCGGCGCGGGGCTGACCCGGGCGCTGGTCGGGCAGATGGCGCCTGCCACTACCGGGACACCGGGCCGCCTTTCTCCTGCCCCGGGCAAGTTCGAATTGCAGACCTGCCCCGAATCGTTCTCCTGCCCCTCGCCTCAGGGACCGGCTCCCGATCGGGCGACCCAGGCTGCAGCCTCGCAGGTCTGAAGGAGGCCGGGAAGAGCGCCGAGGCCCACGTAGGGGGACAGGGCCGCTGGCCTCTCCGCTTGAGCCCTGGCCGCCGGGGGCGCCCTCCGCAGGGCGGGCGGGAGCGGGGGCAGGGAAGTCCCAGGAGCGCCCCCTGGCGGAAATGGCGGCCCTGGCGCTCCGGTGGCTGCAGAGCCCTGGCGCCGCCGCCGCCGCCTTCGCTCTGGATCTCAGTCCCCTGCCCGTGGCGTCAGGGTCACTCCTAGGCCTGGCGCGGTGATGGCGGCTGCTAGAAGAGGGGTCCTCTCTTTCTTTCTTTCCTTCTTTCTTTCCTTTCTCTTTCTTTTTCCTTCCTTCCTTCCTTTCTTTCTTTTCTTTTTTTGACGGAGTCTTGCTCTGTCGCCCAGGCTGGAGTGCAGTGGCATGGGTTCACCGCAACCTCCGCCTCCTGGGTTCAAGCGATTCTCCTGCCTCAGCCTCCTGAGTAGCTGGCATTACACGCGCCTGCCACCACTCCCAGCTAATTTTTTTTTTTTTTTTTTTTTTTTTTTTTTTTTTTTTTTTTTTTTTTTTTTTTTTTTTTTTTTTTTTTTATAGAAACAGGGTTTCTCTGTGTTGGTCAGGCTGGTCTCGAACTCCAGACCTCAGGTGATCCAACCGCCTTGGCCTCCCAAAGTGCTGGGATTACAGGCGTGAGCCACTGCACCCGGCCAAGGAGTCCTCTTTTTCACAGAGGCAAAGACATGGAGCCTCTTAAGTCACTCAAGGAGACCGCCCATGTGAAAGAGGGAATGGAATCCAGGCCTCCTGCCTCTGGCTGAGTCCATTCCCGGACTCCCACTCCAGCCCCTCACTCTCTGGGGAATTGCCCAGAGGGGGATTCAGTGAACCTTGATTAACCCAGTGTGTGCACTCACGTCTTCTAGTGTTGGCAGGGAGGCAGGCAGGAGTGTGGGAATGCTGATCGCCACCGACTGTGTGTCTCCAATGATCAGCACACCATTCTCACCCGTTCCCCCTCCCTACAGCCTAAAGGCCTGGGTCAATAGGGCTGCCCTTGGCACATGTGTACAGCCTATTTCCCAAAGAGGCAGAGCAAAGGAGCTGGCAGGCGGGCACCAGTTCACAACCTCCCACGCCACACAAAGGACAGCCCCAGGTAATAGCTACTGTTGGAATAAAGCCCCGACCCCTGACCTTGGCCTAGAAAGCCCTGGCCGGCTACCCCCCTCTGATCTCATCTGGCCTCTTGCTCTCCGTTACCCAGCACACTGTGCTGCCTTGGCCCTCTCTCTATGCTCCTTGAACAAGCCAAGTGAATGCCCCCTTCCCTCTACCTGGAAGGTTCCTCTCCAATATGTTTAGAGGATAGTTTCTCATCACTGCTTCTCTCAAATTAAATATCAGCTCCTGGAGTGGCCATCCTTGACCCCCAATCCAGAGCAGCCCTCCCTCACTCCTCATCACTCTAACACACCACCCTGCCTCATCTTCATAAAACAGTTCACATCATCTTGTTATTGAATTGTTTGTTCGTGTAACTGAGTTTTTAAATGGGCTGAACCTGAGGAGGGATTATCCAGAAAGTACTCCATGACTACCTTCAACCATGTTATGATAAATTTCCCTTCCCCACCCTTAATGACATCTCAGAGAGAGTCCTTGGCTCGAGAGGTCATCCCCACCAGACACAAGAACGGTTCTATTTCTATAATGAAGAAGAATTTTCAGGCACAAAAAGTTTGCTCCTGTCCAGATCAAAACCTCATCCAAGTTAATCGATCTAATGTCCCATTTAATAGTCCTCCTCTCCCTCACTGGCCTGTCCTTTAGCTAGAGATCCTGCAGTGGCGAGAGTGGGGTGTGGTCTGTTTTTCTGACCTTCCTTTTCTGCTGTAGCTCCTCTTTGTCGAGGCTGGGGGAGAGGTGTTAGAGGAAAAGTAGCAAAGTCTTATGCGACAGGTACCCTTGGTTGGCAGGTGCCGAGCGCTGGCTTTTTCATGGGCACGTATGTGGGTTCTTGGGAGGTTCTCTACAGGACCTCCACTCTGAGTTGCCATAGCAAAGCACTCTCTGGCCAACCTCTCACAGACCCCTGCATCCTCTGTCTCTCATAGGACTGTCTCCCCTATGCCAGGCAAAACAGTGGTGAGTTGGCTGCTCCTCACCCTGCCCCCTTCTCACCTTGCCCACACAGGCCACTCCAGCCAGGATCCACGATCAGAATTCTCCAGACAGGAAGTGCACACAAGCCTCTTCATTTATATACGTCCTCAATTCCTAAAGACATATGCTGGGTTCTCCCATGAACTATCTTGCTGTACTTTACTGTACTGAGGTCCCCGCAACGCCCAGTAACGTAGCCAGCATCAGTGGGGGGACAGGTATAGGGACGCAGCCTCCAGATGACTGGTTCTCTCTGGGAGCTCCCTTCACGTGTTTCCCCTCAGCCCTGCCCACAAATGCAACAATGTTATGCTTCAGCGACTTTCTTCAATCCCTTTCATTTGTAGACTGGAATAGAGGGATGTGGTTTGATTGTTGTTGAACTTGTTCTGCCTTGGTAAGGTGTCTAGTACTTCTCTTCAGAATGCAAGAATATTTAGCCCTCATTGTTCTGTCTTTGTGGCTTTAGCAGATATTCTAAGAACAGAGGAAAAGTCCCGTTCAACAACCTGTAAAATCATTTATTGTCTGACTTCCCAAACCACAAGGGTGGCTCTAAAGCAACAGATATCTTGTCTGCATTGCTCACTACTGTTTCTGCAGAACATAGAACAGCCAAGAAATATGGGTGAAATGGATGGCTAACTGAATAAAGGACTCGATAATCCCATCAAGTGGGGAGGGCTGGTATCATTAGACCCATTTTAAGAGAGAGAAACTGGGACAGGCTAGACGGCTCACACCTGTAATCCCAGCATTTTGGGAGGCTGAAGTGGGCAGATCACCTGAGACTGGGAGTTCGAGACCAGCCTGACCAATATGGAGAAACCCTGTCTCTACTAAAAATACAAAATTAGCCACGTGTGGTGGTGCATGCCTGTAATCCTAACTACTTGGGAGGCTGAGGCAGGAGAATCGCTTGAACCCGGGAGGCAGAGGCTGCAGTGAGCCGAGACCATGCTATTGTACTGCAGCCTGGGCAACAAGAGTGAAACTTGTCTCAAAAAAAA